AGAGAGAGAGAGAGAGAGAGAGAGAGAGAGAGAGAGAAACGATACATTACCGGGCTGAGTATTATACAGGCACGATTCCATTCACGAATCAGGCATGTTGAAATTTTGTGTTCGTTCGCGGCCTGATTCGCGTCACACTGCCAAATAATTATTCTTATTTCTATTCTTTTTACGTTGCTATGTAAATGTTTCTTTAACACTGCCTCTGCTTTTACATATTTTTGTTCATTCGTACTCTCTACGACAGACACGTTTTTCCTTCGGAGAATGGAATAACTCGGACAACATAGAAATGTTTTATATAAAGAAAAAGAATAGATAGATATTAGAAACAACACGAAACTGCCCAGAGAATCTCTGCCATACAGTCACACGTAGAAGTAACACTCTAGGTATGTACAAAACGAAAATGAAAACTTTTCTATTAAACCTAAGTGAACGAAGAAAATGTACACATATACAGACATAGCTTTATATATTTATAAACGTTTATAGTCTACTAGCTGGTAACGAAACGAATCAATACGTAGATGTAGAGATATTATGGATTGATAACCCTGGCGTGACCAATAATTTTGACAATTCTTTCGTTTTATTAATGAAAGTATTCGCGAATCCTTTCGATATTTTTATGTCCAAACTTACAAGAAAATTTTCAATATTGAAACATGCTTGCATATTCAAATTCCGTCTTAGTTGCCTAAGGGTTAATCGATACTTCGATCTACGACTATCGAGGGACGATAATTTCATACTAGAATTGTCGATGATCCTCGATAGGTGTCCATATTTCTCTGGTATTTTTTGCACAAAGTGCCTTCAGGAAAATAAAAAGAGAATAATATAAGGAAAGTAACGTTAATCGATCCGACAACATGTACAATTTAATTAACGACGATCGCTGTGTAGCCTTAAAATTGTGTCATTAAATGACACGTTTAGATCGTTCTTGCGATAAATATGTGAATAGAGACTATGACGGATAATTTTGTACAATCGGCGTGGATCCAAAGATTGCTCCAGCCGAGATAATTCACAAATATATGTATTATAAATCTACGTTTCTATCTTAATTTTTATTTATCGGTAACTATCGGTATCCTTTAATTTATTAAACGAAGCATGAATGTTCCGTCGATGCAACGTTGTCATTGATGGTTATTATACTGTTGAGAACTTTCTTTGCTTAAAAGCACTCAAATTGGCGTGTCCAAATTTCTCGACAACAAACCAAACTTATACGTTATGTCATGTACGTAAACCTGGCCGGGATAAAGTATGCAGGGAGGAAAATCGCTTATGTTGGCGGCGTTGGGATAGTTTTGTGGCGATAAAATAAATCCACCGTGCCTTCGATATCGTGTACCGTCCTTTCCCCACATTTCCTTCGGTTTCTCCTCTGTTTTCGGCTTCTATAATCGATTGTATTGAAAATTTCAAAGATTCATGGTAAACTAGACAATGAATTTTAACTTGAGAGGAGAGAAAGCGTCTAACTATATCCATGCAATCGCAGTAATCTTCGAAATCGGGTGGATAATTGCAATCAGGATCTGGCAAATCGTTTCCCGTGGAAAATTGTAGGCCTGGCTGGTTTGAGTATACTTCTAAAGTTCTTCCTGAACCAGGATGAATTATTCTTCACGGGAAAGGAGATATACGACAAATAAGGAACGTGATTGAACAGCTGATAGAAAGCGTTGCCTGTTAAATCTTCGGTAATGAAAAATTTAAATAATTTAAATACTCAAATACAAAGTGTCTAAATAATTTCCGTGGGTAAAATTTGTAATTTAAATTCAAAATCAAGCTTACTCTTCTACAAGAAAGCTATGATATTATACATTTGCAACGAAAATTAATCATTTGACCAACGCAAAATCCGTGCAAAAGAAAAACAACTAGCAGAAATTCAATCTAAAATTAGCAGTGAACTTCCCTTCTTTTACCTTCAACTTTCGTATATGTACTTACCTAGCGTGGAATCGATAAGACCAACTGCTGGGGCTGGTGATGCAGAGGTTCTGGTTGTAACCACCCCCTGGTACGACATAAAGCCGTCTCTTGGTTAACTGAGTCGGTAAACGTAGGTCGAATACTGTACGATCAACCGGATGTACAGTGCCTGTCGGCAAATTGTTCTTGATATCCGTGAACGTCCAACTGCCTGCGTTTAAAGAAATTACGTGTTTCTTGAGTTCGTTGGGTCCGGTAGCCTACAACACAGATAGAAAGAAATAATTTAATTAACGACTGCCACTCGATAATTATGATCGATAAGACGTTTACGATTATTTTGATTTTCGACAACAAATATTGAAGAACCTCGCTGGAGAAAGTAATTTCCTTCCAAGATATTTTGTTTTAAAATAAGCAAAATTTTCGCAATAAGTTTAGCTTGTCATTGAAAATACACTGACGTGAACGTTCAGCATTTACTATAAACTAGATCTTTCTCCAGAGAGGTTTCTCAATCATTGTAAAAATAAAGATGTAAAATTAGAACAACGCTGCATAAATAGAAAATAAGGTAATGTTGCGTAAATAAAATTATACGAATCGGTGTGTGTCGGTGGGTAATTTTAATGAGAACTTTACATGACCCGCAAGATTCATCAAACAATTAGTAGTAATGTCAACAGGTATTGGTTGGGTAGAACTGGCACGAATATTCATAAGAAGCTGATTATCATCGGTCCAAGAGTATTTAATCTGCGTTAGCATATCTCCTTCGCTATTCGCTGGACTCAAATGAGTCATAACCTGTTTTATGGAAAAGAAACACGGAATAAAAATTGAAAAGCGAAACCACAATTACGAGAGTATTCACCACGTGCTTCTTCATTACGTAAGAATTCCAATTGACATTATCGAATCCAACGAACCCGCCGTTAAAATGACCAACACCATCTCCACTATTCCGAGGCAGAGTGTAAATTTTATTTTCAACTCTCATTTCGGCGCAAGAGATGTGATTTACCACTCGCCCGATTATCCTCCCTATGTACCTGTTCTTCAAATAACCTGATTATATTTTCACGAATGAATTCTCTCGATAGTAACAAATCGTTCCTGATTCTTCGTATCTGGCGCATTAATAATCGACATAAGATCCTCTTTTACCCTCTATGTCGTCGAATCCCAAGACAACGTCACCCAAAATTCCCAACTGATTTGGAACTTTGATGGATTGAATACCAGCGCCCCACGAAATCAACTGCACCGATGCTTTGTGTTTATTCGTCATTGTATATCTAATGGAATAAAGTATATATCGGACAAGAGCAAGACGTAAAAGTAGACAAAAAAATAAAGCGTTTGAATATTTTCGCGAGTATAAGTGTGTCTAGCGATTGTTAGCAACATACATGTACTTTACCTTCTAATAATTTCGAATGGTTCATTACGTTCATTACGATTTAGTTTGGGAACGAACCCAAAACCATCTTCCTCGATAAAGGTCTCCGCAACGGACATGACGCAACGAATGAGCACAAATTTACCCCCTCCTTTTTTCCGAACGATTTGCTACCCCACGATCAATTTAGCCCGCCTGCATCTCTACTTTTTCAATTTTCCGACCATTCGCCCGGCCAGTTTTCACAGAGAATTTTGACCGTCAATCAACCAACGAGGTTACGAGACCAAAATACCTGTCTTTGAAAGAGCAGCAACTTCGCGTTCAAGCGAAGAAGGAGAAAGAAGAAAGCGAACGCCGCTTGCATATCGAAGAAAAGAATTTACTCTTTCGGTAGAGAAATCATCTTCGAAAGGGAGTTCCATTCTTCGAGGGGTACGTTTTTAAATATTTAGACGAGTTGCCGGAAACGAAGAATTCATCACCGTCAACGCTCCCTTTTCCCGCGATTCTTAAAACTTCTCGTCGAAACACCCTCAAAGAGAAGTGTCTTCTCGAAAGCGTTTCGAGAAGAAACGAGCCGCGTGTATAACGCGAACGTCGCACAAAGTGTCATCAATTCTACAGAAGAATTCCGCGATTTTCACGCGGAATACGAAGAGGAAAGAGAGAGAGAGAGAATCAGAAAGCGACAAACCACGAGCAAAACCCATTACGCGAAATCAGGGTATTATCGTGGTTGCAAGCGAGCGACACAAATCCGACAAGCGCGTCTCGTTTTAACGCTTCGTCACCGCTCTGACGAGTCATCCATCCCCCGCGGTCGTCACGAAGGACCGAGGACGCGTAAGCGTTACTCGGGGATGAAAGGGAGACACACAGAGTGTCGAGAGAGAGAGAGAGAGAGAGAGAGAGAGAAAGAGCAAGAAAGACTTACTCGAGGTGCTAGCTGGAGAAAAAACGTAAGCGTGGCGAGGCGAAAGGTAGAAGAAGGAAAATGGAGAGCCACGTATGTGTTTCGTATCCCCGCGAGGACGTGCAGATTCTTTCTCACGGAGCAGCAGCCGGCTGATCAGTCTCAATTCCCGCGAAGCGTTTCGAGGCTGCGGGAACACTCGGTGGAAATAATTACATTAATGGCGTCGGGCCGTTGGAGAAAGCTGTTGGATACATCAGGGTAGATGCCCACCCCTCTCTTGGCGTTTGGCTCTTCCTCGAGGAACAGAAAGCAGAAACTCGCCTCCTTTTCCCCTCGCGCTAGTTTCAATGGCGAAACATGGAACTGACGGAATAATGCTCCACCCACGGGCTAAGGTATACCAACGAAGTGCACCCCCTACCCTTTTGCACTCCTCCTGCAACCACCTCGCTCCCACTACCCCTCCCTGTCCTGGCCTGTTCACTCTCCTTCTAGCCACGCACACCCTCACTTTCTTCCTGACAATGCATAATGCCATTCTGCCGCGGTAACGGCAACAATGAACGCGCACGTCCTGCTGGAAAGTAATTATCTTAATGCCGACGAGCCGGGCGCCGACGAATGGAGAACACTCGCAAGCAACGGCTTGCCTTGTGTGAGGAATCTCTTGGCTTGGTTACTCCGCTTGCTTTTGCCCCTCCCACCCTCTGTATCACTCCCTTTCCTTTT